GAATCAGCTTAAGAATAGTGGGACAATTGCCAGTGAATTTATTTGCCTGGGGTAAAGCTTAAAAAAAAAGCGCAGAAATGGTGTGTGACTATCAAAGAAGGTCTTTTAGGCCTGAAGTCAATTCTTTCAGGAAGCTTGTACTTAGAATATTATTACATATTAACATCAATTTAAGTCAAAATGTTTAAGAGTCAAGCTGTTTTCAGCATTTGGAGGCATCAATGACTATATTTCCTCATTCTCATCATAAGTTTAGAAGTTGGGAATTGGGAGAATCCTTCAGGAAGCTCAGTTACTGCTATACATGAAAGAATTGTCATCAGTACCTGTGCAAAGAAAAGGGCAGTCAAGTAAGCCATTGAGAGATCCAACAATAGGTGGTGTTATGTATTTATCATGTACACTTACTATATTTATTCTGATTTCAGGAGTTAGAGAGGACTGCTAATTAAAGAGAACATTATTGGAGCTTGAGTATTTTCGTTATACACATAATCTGAACATAGAATAAAGAGCAAATATAATGGAGGGAACCACCTGGTACTCTGAAACTAACTCAGAAGGTTTTATTGTGTGAAAAAGCCACAAAAGCTAGTTTGGGGTGAGGCTATGTTTTTTTTTCTTTCCAAAGAATTCATTATTCTGTCAGATACAGACTTAGCCTTTAAGGAATTACTTCATAAACTTAATTAAACACATTAATCCTTTAAAAGACAAATTAATGTTCTAAGTGATTGGTACAGCCAAGAGAGTTGAACTATAAATTCTGCTAAGCAGGTGTATTCCATCTTTTTTTTTTTTCCCTTTCTCCCTTTTTAATTATCTTGCTTTGATTCATGTTTTCTATATCATTTAAAATACAGGAATTTTTGATAAATTGGCAAAACTAGTTTTGATTACAGTTTCTGTGATTTTTTTTTAATAATAATTTTTGGTGCCAAATGTTATTATTCAAAGTATTTGAAATATTAGTTGCCTCATTTGGCCATCTTTTTATTTAAAAGTGGGATAGACACTGGAAAGGTCAGAGTATTTTCATTTTAGGAAGATGTGTTTAAAAAATCTCAACTGAGATTAAATTTTATTTGAACTTTAAAAAGAAAAACAAAGAGAAGGAGAAAAGGAAAGGGAAAGGGAAAG